CCATTTAATCAAATAATTCAAAATATTAATTTCGCTTAGTTTTCCTAGATCATCGCGTTGTAATATGAGAGTTAAAACAGAAGAATCTAGCTGGGTAAATTCGGAATGTTCAAATATCATTTCTGGATAAGTACATATGAGTTGAAGACATGGTCCATACAATGTCCCGAATATATTATTATATTTATTTTGAAAAATAATTTGTAATGTTTTAATTGCATCACTTCGTATTATTTTTTCCAAATTTTCGTCTACATAAGAATTTAATTTTCTCTTAATTCCTTTATTAAGCAGTAATATATCAGTTTCCACTATAAATTCCAAAATCTCAATACCACTTAATTCATCTAAAGAAATTTCAGTAGTATATATGTAACTTTTAAAATAAATCAGTACGTTTAATAATCAATTGACAAAGAATATAAAAAATAGGAAAATAGTATTAATGTATATAGATACCTTAAAACAGCTTTAAATGTATTTATTGACACGTCATCTTTTATTTCAATAATGAAAAAATTATTTTCTTTCTTGGCCCATCTACTAGAAAGAGAAGTATTAAAGTATTTAGATCGCTCTTTTAAAATAAGTGAGTGAGCATAAAGATCTGTTAAATTCTCTTCTTGGCCAAAGCGAATAATTGCATCAGAATTATGACCACTTTGAAGAAGTTTTCTATAATGCAAGGCAAGTTCTTTAGAATTTTTCTTCATCATTTTAACTTTATAATTTCTAACTTAATTTTAAGGAAATTATAATAAAGTATTCGGATAAATATGATCATGACGTATTTTTATTTAATTATATACTTGATTGTTAAGATTCCTGTTTAGGTAATTTCATAATAAATTGCATTGTTATCGTTACATTAAATTAACTTCTATAGCCACATTGCCCATTTTATTTAAAAAGAAAAAAATCCATATGGTTATTCCATATGCTTTTATAGCAGACGAGAAAACAAAAATGCAAGTATATGCGAACAAACGAGAATTTCGAATC